ATTGAAATTGATGAGTCTCTTATTCGCATATGTGCATACTGTGCGTATTGACTCAATATTTTCTTCCATCTCTGCTTATAATGCTTATGAATTAAGGCAATATCGGTGCAATACGCACAGGACGCACATATACCATCTATTGCAGTTCTAATCATCAATGGAAAGATACAAGTAAACGATACCAAGTGAACTAATGAACATTCTTCAACCTACTATGATCTAATGTAGAATAATTCATTTCAACCACTTAAAAATTAATAACTACCATCTTTCGGTATATCAGTTTTCAACTCTTAGATCTGAACAAATGTATAGAGTTTTCTTATTTGTATCTGAAGACACATATTCATCTGAATATCATTCATTGAATTCTTTGAATCAACTAGACGAACATCAAATGTACTTCGATCCATTTTTGATCTAGATTTGTGCTTTGAAATGAGGGTTTTGGTCATGAAGATTTCATCGTTCTTCTTAACGACATCATCAGCAGCACAAACGTCAGATAGAACGCTTCATATACAAAAAAAACAAAACTTTATCAAAATCATTCATCTAAGCTACAAATCTTCACCATTATTACTTAGATCCATTTCATAAGAGTCTATAACATGAAATGATTTTTAATGCTTTGCATTATAATTATAGATCAATTCAATGTATCAATGTATCATTTGTTTCTATGTATATTATATTCTTTTTTAGTAAAACGTCCACAGAAATCAGCCAATTATTATTATGATCTTTATCGACAATCAATGTTACCAACAAATGAATTTCTTGGTTAATTTGAACATCACATTTTTGTTTCATTCATATGTAATTATTGTTTAAAGAAAATACAAATAAATAAACATTGAATGATCAATAATAGTTTTATATTTATTCTCATATTTTCTTTGTTCCATCCTACTTCATAGAAGTGAAATATGGCCGGTAAGAGTAGAGAATATTCATAGGTTACTAGTATTCGATGATAGGTATTTTTGACGCATTAGTTGTATGTCTTGAGAACACCGAATGGGTAATGCAGCTGTTAGGAAAATGGGTACTAGGTAGTGAAACTTCATCAGTTGTGATGGCTGGGACATGTGTTACGTATACCTAACCACCGACTGCTCCGACGAGCAATGTTTTATGGTGTAGGAGTAGGTTGGAAGAAAGCTAGGGGCAACCAGGTCAAAATATGGCACAAATCCATGAAGTCACTGACGAATGGACTGAGTCATGTCGGTAGATGTAGACTGACTGGTTCCTGGGATATGCGAGATGATAGCAACCGATGATTAAAGACCTTGAATGACATGGCTCAAAATCGCTTGCAATGGCACAGGTGCATCCACTCTTTGTGTTCTCCCAAATTCTAATTTTCCAAATTCTTCATGTTCCCTTTTTTTTCAATCTCTCTAAATTTATTTCGTTATATTATACTCCTTGAATGACATCTTCAAACCCTAATCTTTCCGATTAGTGCCTATACTTTTACTACCTCTACCACTATGGGATTTGAATCGAAAACTGCATTTATGTGCTAATATTGTGTAGCAAGTCGAACTGATGTATGTACGTACGTAGTTCTAGGTTGATGCTGACCTTTTCTTCTATTTGTGATCAATATTTCTAAAGTATCCATTATCTGTTCAACAGAGACATAAACTTGGCTGCTAAAATTTCTGATGATGAGATGGCAGAGAAGATTTGTAGCTCAAGTGAAAGATTTTGATGTAGTTTCGTTCTCTGAGTTGAATGGTTTGGTCGCGGGGCTTCCATCAATCTTCTAAACGACATCATCAACAAGAAATTTCAAGTGAAATGTCCGAATTTCTCCATATGTGGTTCACAGCTTGTCCTGTAAACCTCGATATTATATATATTATATTATATTATTAGAAGCTTTATTCAACATTATATTTTTGGTACAACATAGAATTCTCAGCATAAAGTATTTCAACAAGTTTCCTTTTCTTATACCTTGATCTATTGTGACGATAAATTTTGAATGATGACCGGTTAGATGTTAGGAGTTCGGTAATCCACATTTGATTAATGTTCGTTCGTTTCAATGCATATTGCCAGCCACCATGATGTCGATGATTGCACCTTTTTGTATCACGTATAGCGAAAGGTTGTAAACTTTTCATAAACGCGCCTGAATAGGTTGTGTGCTCAATGAACATAATGATGAACTAAAACAAACAACAAAACAGATAACTTGATGAAATATGTTAATCGGAGGAACAGGTAGCCCAGATATTCAAGCAGGCCGCCAGTTGATTGGTTATTGTTGATTATGAACAACTCAAGAGCTCACAAAATCAACTGCGTACAAATTTTGTTCAAGGAGCCGACGACACATTGCAACACACATTCAGAACGAAAAAACGAAGAAAAATACCTGATGACCATCATTCAAAACAACCACTACTCAATCAAATTCATTGAAAAATACCAGCCATTCGCATCATCAGAAACAAAGTCGAGTAGAGAAATCACCAGAACCATCACCCAACCATACATAAGAGGCGTATCAAAAACTACAACGGGACTAATGAAACCATTCGGAATACGTGTTGCACATAAACCAACAAAATTAGTCAAAAACAGTCAATCCTATGCAAATAAAGAATGAAATGACAAAAGAAGATAAACCAAACATCATCTACAAAATGAATTGTGCCAGTTGCGAAAAACACTAGATCGGACAAAGCGGATGCCTTCTTCATCATCACTTGTATGAACATCAATTAGCAGTGAAACGCCATGACATGTCCTCACTTATATCATTGCAAGTGGACACCTGTGCACACACAATCGACTTAGAAAATGTGCAAACTGTAGATAGAGGTAATTCGAAAAACAGTAGAGAATTTTTAGAAGCTTGGCACTCCGGTCAATCAACAATCGATAAACACATTGAAATCGTTTCAATTTATCAACCAATCAGGAAGATTATGGATAAACATAGGAAGAGAAATCAAAGCGATGAGAGATACAACGAAAACGAGGAAGTAGACAATGTCAGGTATAATGTTAACAAGAACCAATCAACATGGAGTTGTACAGGACGAGGTGTGAACCATATATTGAGAAATGCGAACACTTCTGTTCTACCTGAAGTTTGTGCTGATGATGTCATTGAGAAGGAGAATGATGAACTTTCCACGTCCAAACTATCCAGCTCAGTGAACAAATCTCCATCAAAATCATCCACCTGATCTACAAATACACCGGAAATACTTAATCTTTTTTTTAAAAATATTTGCTGCCTACATGTTTTCATCAAAGAATACTTATCAAACCGATAATCAAAATCATTGGCGAAATTTGATAAATGGATAGTTTTACCCTAGATAGAGCACATCTCCGAGGATAACTAAGACCATTTATAGCCCATAAACTAATAAAATGTTTGCAAATAATTTTATGCAAGCAGGAGAGCAAGACGCCTGACGTATACAAACCAGACATCATCTACACGATACATTTCACTAGTTACGACAAATATTATGTAAGTTAGACTGGTCATCCGCTTAGTCTACGTCTACATGATCACATGAACACAATATGAAACAGTTTCTCTCATTTCAATGAAAGTTCCCAGAGAACGTTTGTAAAACTAGAAGTCTAATCAAGAATTGATTAATAGAAACATAGAAATCAACTATATCAGTCAACCAAGTATAAATAAATAAAAAGTCAGCGTACGAGTTAGGAGATGAAAAATCCCAGAGTAAATATGCAGGATCCACGACGAGCGTTTCGTCCTATCCGGGATTCGTCAGTCGGAACACAAACATTAAAGTGATCCTTCATATTTCCATAGATTGATAACAATTAATTTCTTCATATCTGTTAATTATGTATTGTAAAAGCGATCTAGTTACAAATTAGGCTTAAACTTTCGTTGTGTTGAGGAGATCCAGAGAATCAAAAAGAAGCTCTAAAATCACTGAGATACCTTTTATCCAATTGCATTCAATAGAAGCTATATCAGATACATCTTGATAGTTAAAATTCACATGTCGCATTTCTGATTGGATGATTACCTATACCTGTTACTATATTTAGTAGCATCCCCGGATTTTCCGTAAGCTTAAGATCCTTTACTATGCTGCAAATACCCTCGATTTTCTGTACATAAACGAAACATTGGAGTAAAGTGTTTCTTTTTTATTTCGCACCATTTCTCTCATGTTCAAATCGTTGTGTTGGTTTAGCCTAGGAGTTACTAGAAGAGCTTAGGAACTAGAATTTAGCATTCAATTATGAAGACTTATTACTTGAATAGAACAAAAATTCAATTGAATTGACAATATAAACTGATCTACTTATTTTATTTTTATCCATCTATGTATATATATGTAATTAATTCCGTACATAATGAAAATTATTCATATTAATTATTCAACATATAATAGAACACAATACTTATGCCTGTTATTCCTCCACGACGAGTAACTGATTGGTCATGGACTGGAATCTTGCAAGGTGGGATCATGGATGCGCACTGCTGAAGAGTCCCACAATGGGATGAAACAGCGGTACAGTAGTTTCAAATTTTCCATGATGGTCTAACTTCAATTCACTCATGATCTCAACTATCGATATAACTATAAGATCGACAAATAACCCTTCTTCTGGCATTAATCAACATATGATCACTAACAACTGAATTCAAGAGGTATTTCTTCGAATTCTAGTGAGAAGCCGTGACCAGTGGAGATAGTGATTCACTGAAGACAATGATGGATGTATCATTCAATTTCATGCATTAGTTAAAGTTACATATTATTACACACTGTTGAATGCAGGCTCAATGATCTAGAGGTTAAACGTTCACACATGAGATCGAAAGATCCTGAATTCGAATCTTGTGGCACGAATTCGTGGATGTGTACTGTTGAAGATCATCTCACACAAACATCTCACATATAACCCCTCTTTCTGATTTATAAAAAAAAAGAATCTATTTATAGAAATAATAATTTATTTTTTTTATATTAAAATATTAAATGACGTTTACGATTAATTTCTAAAATAGTTCGAATAGAATCTTTAATAATCCATTTCATTTTATCTATATCTAATGAACAGGTAATATGAAAATATAGATGGGAACCTTTTATATTTGCATGATTATGTAATTCTATTAAATAAGATTTAATCATTTGAATAAATATATTCCAATCTATAAAGAAAAAAGAAAAGAAAATAATACGTATTATTCCTTTTGTATGATTATTTAAACTGAAGAAGTAGTTTAAATCAAGTGACGAAACATTGGAAAATATAAGAAAAGAACGTTTTTTTCCCATTGATTGAAATATATCATTTTATTGACGATTATGATGAGAGTATAATTGATGAGTGACCTTTAAGCAATGCTCAAGTGACCTTGAGAGTGACCACCTAATAACTAGGATCAAGGTTATAAATTAGTGTAAAGAATTCGAATTTTGATTTATAGTTGATAGTTAAGGGCTGGGAATTAAATTTATGGTTTTGTTTTTACCACGAACTGACATTAACTATAATGTCAAAACTTTATATAAGTAAATGGATGCGTAAAATTTCGCGCCGAAATCCCAGACCTGTTGTCTTATATCTGATTGGTTCATCCATAAATTATAGTCTCGCTATTATTATTATTATTATTATTATTATTATTAGTAGTAGTAGTAGTAGTAGTAGTAGTAGTAGTAGTAGTAGGAGGAGGAGGAGGAGGAGGAGGAGGAGGAGGAGAAGGAGGAGGAGGAGGAGGAGGAGGAGGAGTTGAATATCACTGCATACTTACAAATCAGTAATCATTCCAATCATTCACATCCCCATTTTTTTACATGATTCTGTGAACATGCTAACGTGAACACATACATGGATACGAGGATATTAACACTTATGCACATACATAGTTACATAAATAGAGGGAGATAGTAACAAACACTGCGAAATAATTTATTACTCTCTAGAGAGTAAACAAATAAAATTGTAATTGCTTTGCATTTTTTTCTCTTAAAATTCAGTTATTCAATAATTTATTTACAATTGAACGAGTGAAACGACATAGTTATAAAATAGGCAAACTACTAAACGTCATACAGTGTGAAAGAAGAACTGTGTTTCTTTCTAAATGAATAGAAACCCAACAATCAACTGGAAATGGATACAGTTAGATTTTCATTATAAATTATATTATTTAGTAAATCTGTAGTGAACGAGAATATTACTGCCAGACAATCGGATGTATTTCAAGAAAAAATGACAGAACATCTTAATAGTCTGAGAACCATACAGTAAATACCTCATTTGCAAAATATACATCAATCATCTCAAACTTCACTATCCCTTCATTTCTATACTAATCATTCTCTGTTCTCGTTCTCTTTTCTTTGATCTTATTGACCTTCTGCTACTAAGTATTTCACTTCCAGTTGATGGTATGTATACTACTTATATCTATCGATATCAGTAGTACACACTACAAACCAGCTAAAAGTTTGATTTATTAAATAACAATTTCGTTGTCATAACTGAGAATACTAATTTTTTCTACAGATATACAATAGAGTGGATTCCTTAACTTGTTAATTTCACGGCAGACATGTCAACTTTAAACTACTGAGCACGAAGTTGAGGACTTGAATCTTTAGCTGCTTATTTCAAACTAACGACTGATTAAAGAACATACCACTGATATTGTCAATAGATCAATAATTAGTTTACAATCAATTATGAAATAATTAACGTGATCAGCATTATCAGTCAAAGGATTGACAAAGCAGGGACCTCGTTCCTACGATTGAAGAACATATGGAACTCAAAACAACTTTCAACCAAGATCAAAGTCAGAATCAAAACGGTTCTAGTGTACGCAGCTGAAACTTGGAGAACTACAACAACCATCATCAAAAAGATGCAAATATTTATAAATAGTTATCTACACAAGTTAATCAACATCCATTGACCGGATACCATCAGCAACAGCCTACTGTGAGAGAGGAGAAATCGGCTTCCAACTTAAGAGGAAATCAGGAAAAGACAATGGAAATGAATAGGACATACATTACGGAAATCATTAAACTACATTACGAGACAAGCGCTAACTTGGAAACCTGAAGGGAAAAGGAAAAATGAAAGACCAAAGTACATATTACGTCGGAAAATACAATCAGATATGAAAAGGATGAATAATAACTGGAAAGAGCTGGAAAAGATTGTTTTGGACAGGGTTGGATGTAGAATGCTAGTGAGTGGCCTATTCTCCTCCACGAGGAGTAACAGGCGTGAGTAAGTAAGTAAGTAATGATTACATCACGAAGAATTAATATTTCAGGATTATAAGAAACATTCATTGTTGATCATGAATTGTCATTATCATCGTTTATTTCATAAAAGCTTGATCGATTTAAAAATTATCATTTTACATTAATGCCATGGTTACTATTCTATTTTTCAAAAAAAGAAAGAAAATCTCACCTGTTTTATCATCTTCCTTATTGATAGTAATTTGAGTAGTATCATTATTGATTTGTGAAATTATTGATTTTAATATATCATATTTATTTAAAAAAACCAAAATATCTTTCTTTGTTAAATCTGGTGAATTCACAATATCTTCAAATAGTTTAAATGTTTGATGATTAACAAACTGAAATTAAATCAGTAGTATAATGAATTGATAGAATAAAAAAAGAAACAATAATTTAATAATAATTGAAGCTAGACCATTATGAAGCCGTGACCGGTGGAGCTAATCCGTATCGGTTAGAAACAGGTATCTACCTCAGTACAATGGAGGATGGTCGCTTAATTTCGTGGATTGTTTGAGGTTAGACATCAATGCCATTGGATGCCGGCTCAGTGGTCCAGTAGGTTCTTGCGCGTTTTTGCGCGAGACTGAAAGCCCTGGGTTTGAATCCCGCGAGCGGGACCGTGGACGCGCACTGCTGAGAAGGCCCACAATAGGACAAAACGGCCTGCCAGTGCTTTCAGGTTTTCAATGGTAATCTAACACCAATCGGTTCATGGTCTGAATCAATAACTTAACAATCTCCACAACCCCTATACTGACACCATAAAAAACTTGGACTGATAGGTGCCGGGGTCAAGTCCTATATACGGGATCATGAATGCGTATTTCTAAGGAGTTCCATACTAGAATGAAATAACAGTCTAGTGCTTCCAGGTTTTTCATGATGGTTTAGTTTCAGTCGAACCATAAATTTAATTATAAATTAAATCATTCTGTATATCAAATTAAAGTTTAATACATTAATAAGTATTTATGATCCATGGTATATATTTGTTTATCAATATAAATTGCAACATATTACGTCGGGAAATAGAAGCAGATATGAAAAGGATCAATAGGAACTGGAAGGAGCTGGAAAGGATTACCCAGGACAGGATTGGATGGAGAATACTGGTGAGCGGCCTATGCTCCTTCACGAGGAGTAACAGGCGTAAGTAAGTAATATAAATCGCATGATTTAGATGTTATAAGATATTACGTCATAATGTACAGTAGAAAAGATTTTAAAAATCAATAAAACTAAACAGGGTATATGAGAAATCTTTTGATTGAATATTTGATTCGGTTACCTAAGCTATTTTAGTAATCCCAAGGTTAAATCTGCATGGCAACTTGAACACGAAAGAAAAGGCATGAAACATGGAAAGAACGCCTTATTCTGAAGTTAGTTTATGTAAAGAAAATCAAGGATATTTATATCATTTTAGATGGTCTTTGGCTATTAGAAAGTTCTGGAACTTTTCTGAACATAGTAACTGGATAGGTAATCATCCAGTTAGAAATGTGATACATGATCCTTCATCTTCTACATGTTTCTAACTAAACCTCTATTGAATTGACTGATTGAACATAAAATGTTTCCCAGAGTTTTCATTGTAATGCTAAGCAAGAGACATCATAAGTCAAACATTATTACAGTAAAAATCTATATTGAGGTCTAAGTCTTATTTTCTTTCTATAAACCGAATTTATCGAAAACTGCCTTATACATACAATATTTCGTATAATCTGATTTCCTATAAGAAATCAACATTCATTCATTCATTGAATTTATGAGCTAGACCACCATGGAAAACATGGAAGCATTCGATGGTCGTTTTGTCCTAGTATGGGACTCCTCAGCAGTATGGATCCACGATCCCGTATGTGGGACTCGAACCGAGGACTTTCGGTCTCGTGCGCAAACGCTTAACTTCTAGATCACTGACACGGTATTCAAACAGATAGTCCTTTAGATAAGATGCTTATTACAGTAGTAGAAGAAAGATTAGTCATATTATTAAATACAGATTATTCATACTTTTTCAATCATATTAACTTATACGTTTTTACAATATTTACTTATAAAGTAGGCTCCCTTTCGATAACTGATGAATAAACTACAAATTTCTTGTTCTCTTCTGTCTGTATTTAAAACTTCTTATCGTTCACTGAATAGTACTCAGTTCCAAGTTGTCTAACTATTCCTTAGTATTCTGGATAAAGTTGAGATTTTACAGTGAATTCAAGTGAATTAATATTATATCGTACTTTTTACGGGCCGACGGAACTGATTGACAAGAGGTCATGGATCTCGTACAGGCATGTTCTGTTACTTGAGATGTCTTGCCATCAGAATAATACATTTCTCATGACTCCAATCATAACCGCATGGAATCCTATGAGACAATATCGGTTTCCTAAAGGTTGTAGACACATATGGAATGGAACTTAAGCCCAAGGTTTCCTACAAGAGGTCAACAACCATCTAACAATAAATATACAGAATTATTGTATAGATCATAACATGTGTAGTGACCTACTTTTATCAAGAGAACGAGATTGATTTAATGGAAACAATCATTATTATAACCAATTGTACCAGTGATTGTTTTGCTGTGCTCGTTTGTTTAACCGTGCTAAAGACAGCCATATTACTGCTCCATTATCTTTCGATTGTGACCTTGTACGGGTTCCGTTATGCCCGGTAACTAAGCTTGTACTTCTTTGGCACGATTTCGGTATCCTTTTGATACAAGGAGATCGCCAACAAATACATCTCGACAACAGCCATCAAATGTCTTCTGATATTTGGCTTACGGGGGATTTTACCGGTTAACTGGCACATAGTCTTCTTGTAGTGGTGTTCATAGTCAATCGCGACTCGAATCCATGCCACACATGTAAATTATCTATATCAGACTAATGATTTCAAGACAGAAATCATGATTTCAATCTGATGATGAGTGTTCAATAAGTTACAGTCTTAAACAAGTAATAATGATACCTTAGACAACAATATTAACTTACTTTATTCCCTTGAACATATGTGAATCGATAAACATCTTCAAGTGATATAAAAAACAAAATCATATTGACCGATTCAAAATAATGAAATTGTTTATTCAAATGTTCACTGTGTTCACCTAAATTAATTGTTCTAGACGAAAAGATGAAACATTTAAAACAATCAGACATAAAGATGATAAGGTTAGATAGAAACTAGACAAGTAAATAATACATAAAAGGTATATATATTATATAAGTCACTTTTTGTGAGAAACGTTCACATGTGAACTCCAGGAAGCTCTAAGAGGCTCAAAAAGAGTCGAAGATATTCAATCCAATCATCTTTTGGAACAATATTCCAGAATCTTTACGTGAAGCTTCCCTATTGGAAAAATGCTAACAACCTCCTGTATGTGGATTGGAGGACTATAAATAGCTGACAGTTTTGTACTATAATTGACACTGTTTTGGGTTAAAATTCCTTTCACTTGTTATCTATCTTCTTATTTCTGACTTGGGAGGGTTCTAGAGTTCAACCGCTCAAGTTACACACGGTGTATTAAGAATCTGAGCTCTAGATATAATACTTTTCATTTCCAAACTGAATTTTACAGTGCGAAAATGATGTTTTATGAATGAGCTTCTACATTTTAATGACATTTTTACTAGTTGACGAATATCAGTTGCTCATTTAGTGAACAATGAACGATGATGACCGAATGATTTCTTTTTCTTTTATGGGACACCTGTTCAGTGAGACTGAAGGCTCTGGGTTTGAATTCCGCTGGCGGGATCGTGAATGTGCCTTCGCCATAGGTGACGTAAGTTGGCAAAAGTCAAACGAGATTTTCGTATCCGTGCTGGGATTTCGTCAGACACCAACCCATTAGGGCTGATCAGACTTCCAACATAAGTGAAGTTGTCAACGCATTCGACCACTTCACTCCCTATCCTTAGGTCAGGTGTTGACGCAGACCAGTCCTGAAACAACATTTTGCATTTAGAGGGAGAGAAGCGCATTCCAAACATTCTGGCATTGTTGCTCAGTGCTACCAAAAACACTCTGCATTTTGTCAGCGTCTTCACCAAACAGGACTATATCATCTGCGTATTATAAGTCGATATGTGGACCTCCTGGAAGGAGAACAATACCCGAGAATTCAGTCAACGAGAATGTTATTCCCATGAGTAGGTCTATGATGAAGTTAAATAAAAATGGAGAAAGTGGGCAGCCTTGACGGACACCACTTGAGGTTGCGAAAGCAGATGATAGTTCGCTATAAGCTCTGACTCGACTAGTGGTGTTCGAGTAAAGAGCCTTCACAAGGTTTATGTACTTCTGGGGTACGCCTTTCAATGACAGATACTGCCACAGAATCTCGCGGTCTACCTAGTCAAATGCTGCTTTTAACTCAAGAAAGACCACCATTGTCGGACGCCGATAAGTATCCCTGTGTTCTAGAACCTGACGGATGGTGAATATGTGGTCGATGCATCCTCGACCAGGTCTGAGGCTAGCTTGATTCTCTCGTGTTTGCAGTTCACGAGTCTTAGTTAGGCGTTTGATAATTATCAAGACTAGTATTTTAGATACTATATCAGTTAAACTAATCCCTCTGTGGTTGTCACAGGATGATTTTAATCCTGGCTGGCTGAAATACTGAATTCTATCTTAAAGCTTACTGTTCTATTATAATCCAGCTATTCCTATTGCTTAGTAGTATATTCTTGGACGCAATCAGGTAGTATTTATATTAGTGGTTTTTAATACCATGATTGATGATGAAGATAGAAAAATGTTCCATCCATTTATGATTAACAGATTGATTGGTATAGGAATTCATCATTAGAAGTTGCCAGGTATTCATAATATTTCATTACAAATTGTTTGAAATCCACCTTACTAACAAGAATGTATATACATTGTTTATATTCCGCTTAAATTTGGACTTAATTATTGGTTCATTTATTTGGTTTCAAACTGGTTATCAGGACTTAGTAGCTAAATGAATAACATAATGGAGTTTGAAGCTGACGGTACTGAGTTCGAGTCCCAGAGTGAACATCAACTGTGGAATGGAGGTGCATCCAGCTGACAAGTGTTAAATAGGACGAAGCGCGTGTCTTGGATTCTACTGATAGTTTCTATCACATCTTTGCTTAAAATTTCATGAATATCACTTTCAAATATTCTCTCGTTGTGTTTTTATAACGTGTATAGCAATTTGCACTGATAAACATTTATAAACATTTATCCTGTCCAAGATTGACTGATCTTCAATACATAGTACCCATTAAATATTTCACTTTTTCTTTATTACCAATAATAAGTTAAGATATTGTTCAACTGTTATGAAATATCTATTTCATCGGATTCCACTTTAATGATTGACTTTATACTACTTATTTTAGTAGTCATTTGTTTTCAAAATAAAATACAATATCTTATATAGAACATATGTTAGGATTAATTCTCACAAAGTTTTTTTTCAGCTAATGACATTTCATCATGAAAAAGAATAGTTATGTAATCTGGACAGCATCATTAATGAGCATGGTGGATCTAATGCAGATGTGAAAGTGCGGATCGGCAAATCAAGAGCAATAAATCTTCAACTGAACAACGTCTGGAAATCAAAACAACTGTCAACAAACACCAAAGTCACAATTTTCAATACAAATGTCAAGACAGTTCTGCTGTATAGGGTGGAAACTTGGAGAACTAAAAACGCCATCATCCACAAGATACAAGTGTTTATTAACATTTGTCTACGCAAAATACTTCAAATCCGTTGGCTAGACACTATCAGCACCAATGTACTGTGGGAAAGAACAAACCAGATCCCAGTGGAGGAAGAAATGAGGAAGAAGTGCTGGAAGTGGATAGTACACGCATTGAGGAAAGCACCAAAATGCGTCACATGGCAAGCCCTCACGTGAAACCCTCAAGGCCAAAGAAGAAGAGAAATAGTAAAGAACACATTACGTCGATAAATGGAGATAGACATTAGAAGAATGAACAAGAATAAGATAGAACTAGAAAAGAAGTCCTAGGACAGAGTAAGTTGGAGAATGCTGGTCGACAGCCTATGCTTTATTGGGAGTAACAGAAGTAATTAATTAAGTCATGTAATCTTTAAACTTGACATACAAATGACAATTGAATAACATAATAAATAATAATCAATAAATAGTAGGTAAATTTATAATCATGTTATTTACCTTAATGTTATTGATCCAATAGTGATAAGGGATTCTCTGACAGCTTTTGATGATTGTTTCATAATCAGTAAATCTTGTAATGTAGGTATATAATCATCTTGAATAATTCTATCCACACATTTAATAAAGCTACAGATTATATTGATGAATATGAAAGATGAATAAAACATAGAAGATGAATACAAGTAATAAATTAGGTGTTAAAAAATAGGTTTCTAATGGTTGAATGGTTCATACAGGAATTGGGTAGGAAGAAACATGTAATTTACTCTCACGAACGCTTAACTTCTACATCAATGAGCCGGCATCCAACGTTGTTAATGTCTAACTTCAACCAATCCACAAAATTGAGTGACATATCCACCATTATCATCAGTGAGTTACTATCTCACAACAGACCTGATTGAATTCCATTAGTTACGGCTTCTTACTAGAATCCCAGGAAATAACTTTTGAAGCCAGTTACTAGTGAGCACATGATGATTATTATCAGAAAGGGGTTGTGTGGAGATTGTAGTAATTTAATAGTTGAACGGTGGCGCCATTTCATGAATTGGTTGGAGTTAACCATTGACACCATTGTATGTCAGCTCAATGGTCAAGACGTTAAGTGTTTGCGCGAGAGATTCAAAGTCGTAGATTCGAATCTTGTAAGTAGGATCATGGATGTGCATTTTTGAAGGGTCCCATAGTAAGACGAAACGGTGATGGAGTGTTTGGAGATTTTCCATAGTGATCTAGCTATCATTAACTCATGAATTCAACTATTAAATTACTACAACCTCCACGAGACCCCTTTCTAAATTAACGTATTACATTGTTTATACAACGTACTCATCGCGTTACATCATCAATCCATTATAAACTTTTTTTTACTGAAATATAAAAACTTCTGTTTTTGTTTTCATTGACAATTTGTACTACTTATTATAACAATAAAACTATTGAATATTGAAACCATCTAATGAATTCATCATTATAATTCAATATAAATCTTCACTCATTTTTGTGTTGAACAAAAAAAATCAATAAAAATAACCCCTTATTTTGTTGTCACTAGCACAAACTATCTTTCATTGTATTATAATCACTATGTTAAATAATCAATAAATAACCCATGGACAATTGTTTCAAGCAGAAAATGTATTGATATATACATATATATATAACCTTGACAATTCAATACTAGCTGTCACTACTACGTCTTAACAACAACAACAACAATAGAACACTATTTAAACTGGAACGAAAGAAGTTGATTAAAACTGAAATAGTCTACATTCCCCGCCATTTATGATAAAATTGTATTTAAACAATAATAATAATAATCATAAAATGATGATGAATGGATGAATGAATGAATATGCCCAATTGCATAGATTACTTTCATCAATGACGTATTCTTTATTGAATGTTTCACTATTAACTATTCTCTTGAGAGTAATAAATGTTATGTTATGTCATTGAATCATAACAATAATATAACATTTACATCATAGTCATTGTGATTTATTCTAACACATGGCATATTTGTGATGAAAATATCTAAACCGAAAGTTACAAGATGAATAGATAAATATATTTCAGTGGTTAAGATTATGAGTTAGTTGAAGCTAGACCACTATGGAAAACTTGAAAGTACTGGACGGCCATTTCATCCTATTGTGGGATTCCACAAAACCCCTTCCGATACTAATCAACATATGCTCACTAGTGACTGGCTTCAAGAGGTATATCCTGGAGTTCTAGTGAGAAGTAGTGACCAGTGGAGTTCAACCGAGTTTGTTGTGAGATAGTTACTCACTGAAGACAATGGTGGATTTGTCACTCGATTTCATAAACTGGTTGAAGTTAGACATTAACACCGTTGGATGCTGGTTCAATGGTCTAGTGGTTAAGTGCTCGCGCGCGAAGCCAGTAGGTCCTGGGTTCGATCCTCGCAGGGGGTGGGGGCGTGGATGTGTACTGCTGAGGAGTCCCACAAAAGGACGAAACGGCCATCCAGGGCTTCCAGGTTTTCCATGGTGGTCTAGCTTCAGCTGACTCATGATCTTAACCATCGAAATTACTACAATGTCCACAAAACCCATTTGACACAAATACATTGTAAATCCATTTGAGAATGAATCTTACCATTGGTGTTTAGGATTGCAGTTGATCAATCTCTTATTGGCCATATAGGCATCTTGTAAGGATTACTCCGATATTACCTTAATTCAAAAAACTTTTTTTAAACAAAGATGGATAGGGGATAGCAATGAAATTCAGGGTGTGTGTTTTGTCCTATTTGGGACTTGTCAATTGAATGTACCTGTATCTGATTGTAGTACAAAATGCGCATCCTGGATTCCACTGCTAGTCACTATCCATTTTTTTATAATGCTTGTAAATTAAGGTAATATCGAGGCCATTCGAACAAGATGCACATATGCGAATAAGAGACTGATCAATTGCAGTCCTAAACAACAATGGGAGATTCAAGTAAACTTCGTCCCATTGCACAAACAAGTAGTTATCATGACTCAATAGCTAAGTGGATAACATGGTGACGTTTGAAGCAAACAGTACTGGATTCAGGTCCCAGAATGAACCTCAACTCTGTAATGCAGGTTCATGTAGCTGACAAGTTTCAAATAAGGCGACACGAGCATTATAGATTCCACTGCTAGCCACTATCCATCGTTGCTTACAATCCAATATATATTAAATAGTTTGGTTTTCTATTTTATAATGATATTCACTTTAAGTTTGTAAATAACTTGAATATCAATGAAAGATGACAAATGTTGAAGAGTTGCTTATTTGATCTTCACACAGCACAACACGATGTGACCCTGTCTTTTGTGAACATGAATTTTATTTTTAAAAATATCATAGTATACAGGATTTTATGCCCTTTACTAAGTTTATAACTGTTAATATTTTGTAATTCATATAAGTTAGATGGGTGAACTTGGGTTCAAAATTTACTATATAATAAGTAGTAACCGTTGTCATGTTTGTATAGTCATTAGTATTCAGTGAAATTCATTAATCCAAGCTCAATAAAATCACTAATTCTAATGACTTTGAATCTCAATATAAGGAGTCGAACCCTTATAGAAAGAATCTGTTATCTGAAGAATACAGACATGACATATGTACAGGTGACTATTAACATCTAAATGAAATCCAGAGCTTTGTATTGACAATTTACATATTATTACGGTAATGAATTCTTAATATCTGTTAAACTTTCTAGTGTGTTGATTTTTATGAACATTGATTCAGCTTACATAAAGCCTAAAATTCATAAGCGAATCCCACCTTACATTCAATCATACTTAAGATCTTCAGATTTCGTCACAGTCACAACACTACTTCAATCGGCGAAACTCTAATTTATGGACGAGCCAGTCAGAAGCATTTTAGAGACTTAAGGGTTACGGCGCCAACTTCAGTGCTTAATGCCAACGTACGATCGGCTCACAGGGAATTTCGTACAAAATTTGATAACTGAGCGGCTATAACAAATAAAACGGCGAGACTAATTTTTGGTCGAATCAATCAGGTACAAGATAATAAATCTCGGATTTTAACGCGAAAGCCTTTCATCCATTTGGCTAAATAAATTTCTGGCACTATAGTTGATGTCAGTTCATGATGAAAACTCTCTACATAATTCCTGACTAAGGCAAATTATGCCAATCATTGCAAACTGGATAATAAAAGCACCAGTAACACTGGCTGCAGCCAGGTACTACAATATATACGGATGTTTGGAGAGCGTACAGAATCCTTCATGGGCTTGGTTATGTGCATCGTGTCGTTATCCACAAGTGACATTTTGTGCACTCAACAACCGGAGTGCACATAAACAATATTGAAGCTATTTGGTCGAGGCTGAAAGTTTTCTGTAGCCGTATGGATGATTTCTTCTACTGCATGCATTACGATATCAAAACCTCTGAACCTCTTTCTAACCTTGACAAGTTTTTGAACCATGTAAAAGTAGTGTAGCCACTTTATTTCCTTGGTTTTGCATAACATATTTTTACTCTATACTGACTGTTTGCTGATTGGTTAATATATCACAAGGTCACTTAAGATTCTTTCAAGGGTCGTCCATAAATTAGAGTCTCGCCCTTCAATCATTAACTTGGAGTTCGGTGATCTGTATGAACCAATTATGAATAAAATTACTATAATGCTCTAACATTTGACAAATGCTAGATAATGCCTGAAAATAAATGATGATTAATAATGACCACCAAAGTATAAATAAATACAAGGAGAATGCGTTTGAGTTACCTACTGTTTGTTTAGATGTAATGATCTAATAGTAATTATAAGTCAAGATTTGAAAAGTTCTATGTATGGTCAAACATTTTCAGAATCTTGAAGGAACATGTGAACCTTCCAGTCACTTGAATGCCAAGGAATTTATGACATTTTGTATATCATTTATTGTATCAAGACTCAACTATAACGATCAAGCAACTAGTTGTTATAAAACATCCATGAAACCGAAACTAAGATAATTTCTGGAATATCAAAGCTATCATGTGACTAAAAATTAGCTAAATCCTATCATAATGAAGTACTTAAGATCAGGATTCCCAAATGTAACAATTACCCTTATTTATGTTGTTTTCTTAAAGTAAAAACATATCAGGTCCTTCGAACAAGTTTTGAATCCAGAGAACTATTTACTGGAAAACAGACTATCAACTTGAAATGATAAAGAAGATTTGTAGCTCACGCGGATAATTTTGATGGACTTTTGTTCTCTAAGCTGGATGGTTTGGTTGTTGAGCTTTCATTGTTCTTATTCTGAATAACATCATCAGCATAAACGTCAGGTAGAAGTGAAGTGTTCAAATTTCTCACATGTGGTTCACAATTTGTTCTGTAGATTTTGATGTTGGAGGTTAACAAGAACCACTCAACATCAAGGTCTACAGGACAATCTGTGAACGATGTGTGAGAAATTTGAACACTTCACTTCTACCTGAAGTTTATGCTGATGATGTCGTTGAGAAGGAGAACGATGAATTCTCCACGACCAAACTATCCAGCTCAGAGAACAAAACTCTATTAAAAGAATATCAACTTTCTAATCAAATCATTAACGAACGGAAGCATATAAATAAAATAAGAAGATAAAATAATCTGATCTCGAGGAATAATTCATTGCTTTCATCATCTTCTCCCTTTTAAACTGATGCCATTTTATTCCCCCTTTATTTATTCAACTGATCAATAAAAATTACGACAAGACTATAACATACGGAAGAACCTATCAGGTATAAAATAACAGATCTCTGGTGTTTCGGCACGAAATTCATGCATCTATTTGACCAAATAGAGTTTTAGCATTATAGTTGATGTCAGTTCATGGTGAAAAACCCTAAATCTAATTCCTCACCTCAGCCATCAACTGTAAATCATAATTATTAGATGAACACTCTCAAGGTCACTTGAGCGTCTCTCAAAGGTCATCTCACCAAAACTACTTCCCTTTTTTCAACAGTTGAGATCATGATTCGATTGAAGCTAGACCACCAAGGAAAACCTGGGAGCACTGGACAGCCATTTCGTCCTATCGTGAGACTCCTCAGCAGTGCGCATCCAAGACCCCGCCCCGCAGGATCCGAACCCAGGACCACCAGTCTCGAGCCAGGTGCTTAACCACTAGATCACTGAGCCAGCGTCCAGTGAGTTACTATCTCGAAACAGACTTGGTCGAACTCCACTGGTCACTACCTCTTAAAGCCAGTCACTAGTGAGCATATGTTGATTAGTATCGACGAAAAATAAAGTCATACAAAACAAAAAAAATGGCAATTTCATAACTTACTATGAACCAGCATAAGTTTTTTGTGATAGAATTGGATAATATTGTAAAAATGCATTACGAAATTCACATTGATCCGTAATAATTTTCATTATAATTTGTAATGAATTTAATGAAATTTTATGCTCTGAATAATTAATATTCGTTAATTGATCAATTGAAAATTCTAATAAATTAAAATTACTATTTAATTCTATGTAATTTCTATTTAGATAAGGTAGATTACCACTTTCTAATTTACTATTATGATCTAGATCTAAAAAAGAAAGAGAAAAAACAATAAAGGAAAATGAATGATTGTGTTCGTCTTAGTATGAGACTCTTCAGAAATGCAGATCTACGATCCTGCATTCAGGACTTTCAGTTTCGTGCACGATCGTTAAACTCATAAACCTTTAAGCCGACTGACATCCAAAAGTGTTAATGTCTAACTTCAAACGATTTACGAAATTGCGTGAACACCTACCATTGTACTGAGGTAAATACCTGTCTCTACCCGACACGAATTAGCTCCATTGGTTACTGCTTCTTACTAGAATTCCAGGAAATACCTCTTGAAGCCAGTCACTAGTGAGCACATGATGATTATTATTATCAGAAGAGCGTTTTGTGGAGATTTTAGTAATTTAATCGTTGAACGGTGGAGTAATTTCGTGGATTGGTTGAAGTTAGATATTAACACCGGCTCAGTTCAATTCAGAAAATTGTGCGTTCATTTTCCATTGTACTGAGGTAGATACCTGTCTCTACCCGATACGGATTAGCTCCATTGGTTACAGCTTCTAAATAGAACTCCGAGAATTCCCTCACGAAGCTATTCACTGGTGAGTATATGGTAATTATCAATATGGGGAGTCCCATATTAGAACGGAACGGCCATCCACTACTTCCAGGATTTCAATAATGGTCCAACAGTGATTGAATCATGATATCAATCAAAAAGAAATTTCTTCTCACTTCTTCTGATCCACTTAAACACAACACATATAATGTGTTATATTAACACACTTTTCGTTACACGAGTTACATGTATCTTTTATACACTACAGAAAATACTTATTTCAATTATTGTTAACATGATCGAATAACTTATTCGGTATATAGTTAATCGATAATTTTGATGTTTGTCCTTGAAAAGGTTTGTACCAGATTGTCGAGCGAAATGTTGGATTCAATCGTAGAGATTTTACCAACATATTCTCCCTCTTTAATGTTTTATATGATTAGATATTAACACCGCTGGATGCCAGCCGGTTCAGTGGTCTAATGGTTAAGCGTTCATGTGTGAGACTGATAGATCCTTAGTTCGAATCTCACGTGGCGAGATCGTAGATGCGCACCACTGAGGAGTCCCACAATAGGATGAAATGGCCTTCCAGTGCATCCAGGTTTTCCATGGTGATCTAGCTTTAATTGACTCATAGTCTCAACTTTGAAATTATTATAATATCCACAAAACCTCTTCTGATAGTTTCATTTCATCCAAGAATAACTCAACCAAATGACATAAAAAATTACCGAATCACTAATAGTACTCACTTTTATTTCTACGTTTTGTATTGATTGATAATTTTCTAATTGATTTATGAACGAGACCATCTTCTGTTTTAAAATCAGCTAAATGATTCCAATCCTCGTTCAAATTATTTCTCTTTTCTTCTTCTTCATCATCATCCTCATCATCATCATCTTCATTATAGTTGATAAATTCATCAATATCTATAATATCAGAAGAACTTTTAACTAAAGTTCTTGCTAAAGAACAATTTGAAGAATTGACTAATCCACTTTCAATATCATCTCTCTCATTATTATCATCATCATCATCATCTTCATCACCTTCTTCTGAAGTATCACAACTGTCACTAGTTACAATATAATCTAAAAATTCATCTTCAACTGATATTGGAGGTAGTGTTGTTGGAGCTGGTGGCGGTGTTGATTGATACATTAAAAATGATGACCAATTATCAATACCACTTTGTAATAAGACATGAATTAAATAATGTAATAATGTTTTATTTTCAATAATATTTTGCCAATTATCGATTGATTTAATACCAATAATCGATTCAAATTTTTTTAATACTGATGGTGGAATAGAATTATTTTCATGAACATAATATAGAAATTTTTCAACAATAGAATCGGTTATACTATCAGTATTGGCAATATTATTATTATCAGTAGTAGTACTACTACTACTAATAGTAGTATTAGTAGTACTAGTGTGCATAGTACAAATAGTAGTTGTTGCTGGCGTCGTCGTCGTAGTAGTAGTACTAGTAGTATTGAATGAAGAGGGTATACAAGAGTTATATGTTTCCATAGTGAAATCATGAATTTTATTTAAAGGATTATTTGTATTACTTAAATATTGTTGACTAGTAGATTGAATAGATTCATTAAATGAAGGAGATAATGATGTTGATATTGTAAAACTTGGTAAACTAGAACTAATTGTTATACAATTATGATGATGATGATGATTAAAATATTTTGCATGAGGATCATCATAATAAGGATAAGTGAAATGTTCCGTATTATGATTCAATTTAGTTTTAAATGATGATTCTTGACGTTTAAGTATATGATAATCAATATGATTAGAATTAGTTGTATATTTTTCATCGAATATGATAAAATCTTTTGTGATCCATCCATTTTCTGATCGACTATTCACTAAATATTCTTGAAGTTTCTAAATTCAGTATTAAAAGAAATTGAAGAATACAAGATTATACTTACATTCTAAGTTAACATCAACTGTGACTATTAGAGAAGTAAGTCAGAAATAAGACAGATATCAGTATAGGGATGTGAAGATTATTAAGTTATTGATTGAGATCATGAACTGATTGATGCTAGACTGCCATTAAAAACCTGGAATCACTGGATGACAATCGCGTCCTATCGTGGAACTTCTCAGTAGTGCGCATCCATGATGACGCCCATTATGATTCAAACCCGGAACCTTTAGTCTCGAGAGCGAACACTTAACCTCTAGACCACTGAGCCGGCCGACATCGGACAGTGTTAATATTTAACTTCAAATAATCCACGAAATTGTGCGAACACCTTCTATTATACTGAGGTAGATATCTGTCTCTACCCGACACGGATTAGCTCCATTTGTTACGGTTTCTCACTAGAACTTCGAGAATTCCCACACGAAGCTAGTCACTAGTGAGAACATCTAACGTGGATTACCCCTTCCACGTATCAATGGCTGTTCTGAAGATCGTATAACACAAAAGACGTTATTATGAAAATGTATTGGTAAGAATGAGTACAGCGAAGCTAGCGAAACCGTCACTGTATTGGCCATTCTATAGGATACGATTAACTAGTGCGCGTTGGTTGTCCTTGACCTTGACAGGGATTGATGATCTGTTCGATATTCAGTGACCCAACAGCCGAATGATTTGTCTAGGACTCTGATATTTCACTGGCCTTACACAGTAAGAACAAATACTAGTGTGATAGGTTCACTTAACACTTCATCGATTGTTTTCGATTAGTTATTGTTCTGCCTCGTAGAAACTAAGCGTCAACGATTTGCTATATTAGTATGAATTTTATCTTTACTTCCCCCCCCCATGCATAAGGAGAGAAGCAACATTCTCAAATACAACACGGAGAACACCAACTTAGTCACACATGATGGAGAACCTTTGGAAGATGTGAAATCTTTCACATATCTAGGCAGCATCATCGATGAATAAGGGGCATCTAATGCAGATGTAAAGGTAAGGATTATCAAAGCACGGGCAGCATTCCTATAGTTCAAGAATATATGGAACTCGAAACGGCTATCGACCAATATGAAAGTGATAATCTTCTACGCAAATGTGAAGATAGTTCTAATGTATGGAGCTGAAATTTTGAGAACTACCACAACCATAATCGAAATAACCATCAACCCAAGATACTCCTGATTGTACATTCTTACCTATAGAACAATTAAGTAAGAATATCTGCTACAAACCTCTTCATAACATGAATACTTACTTACTTACGCCTATTACTCCTCATAGAGGAGCATAGGCCACCTACCCGCATTCTTAATCCAACTCTGTCCTGAGGAATCTTTTCCAGTTGTTTAACATGGATACTAGATAATAATAGTCTTTGAATTCCACTTGAAAAAAAGCAAACAGAAACTTGTTCTCCTATACTTGATTGACTAGTCAATATAGTAATGACTGCCTTCCCTTCTTTCCCCACGAAAAACAATAAGGAATATATATATATATATATATATATATATATATATATATATATATATATATATATATATATATATATATATATATATATATATATATACATAAACAAATATTGATTCACTTACATGAGCCAAAATATCTGAAAAACTAATATTAGCATCTTTCATATATTCTAACACCATAGCAATAGCATCAGTTGTATTGGCTAGTATTGTTGGCTTCATTTCATTACGATATGATACAGGGAAACCATCACCGAAATGTAGACGCATTTGCTTACAAAATGTATTTTTGCCAGAATTCGGTAAACCTAGAGATTGTTTTATTTTATATCAAAAATAATAAGTTTAGTTTTATTTATAATAATCAGAGAATAAATATGTTTTATTGGAAATATGATGAAAGAAGTTAGACATTAATATTGTTGGATACCGAATCAGTGGTCTAAAGTTTAAGTGTCCAAACATGAGACACAAGGTCCTATATTCGAGTCCCGCATGCAGGATCATAGATGCGCACTGCTGAAGAGTCTCATACTGGGACAAAACGGCCATCCAGTGTTTTTGCGTTTTTATTGATGGTCTAATACCGATCCATTTTCTACTGCCCACATTCAAATGCATGATTGTACATATTTGGGACACTCACGAACTTAGACATTCGACACGCCATAGTTCTAAACGTGTTATAATCATTGATTCACTTCTTCATCTGTTATTTAATGAAGTCAACATGTGGCTACAGATTTAAAAAAGAGAGAGCTAAAATAATACTACGGTATCTCGAAACTCAGTCTAATCAATTAGTAATTGTAATAATATCAATTCAATTCATCGAACTATTCAGAAGAGATGATAAATAGCAGTCATTTATAGTAAAAAGTGATAACATGACAAGTAAAATAGAATCACATATTTTGAATTTATATACAATGAGTAATAGTCATAGTCATCAGTCAGTGAGGATCAACATAAATCCTGTCAAAAATATACGGTAGGCCAAGTTATCATACTACAGATGGATAACAAGGTGAATGCAAAGAATCGAAATGATGATAGTGAAAACGGTGAAGATATAGATTAAAAATTAAGAAATTCGATTCAAATAGAAGGGATAAATTTAGGCAAAAAGAGATATGAAATGATATCTAGATTCAATATTTAGAAGATAAAGAATGAGACTATTTGAGCTAATGTGGTCGATTCTGAACCATATTTCTAAAAATCTCTAATCACTAATGGCGGTTATCGAGCAGACACCAATCTGGTAATAGGGATCTGCCAACAGTGACACAGTTCATCAGTCAATGATTTACAAGACTAATCCCATTTTTTTAATTAGAGTATTCTTAGTTCACTTTCACCTCACTCCTGTTCCAGACAAAATTGTGCATCCAGGTAGGCAGTGGCTGAGCACACGTAACATGCATCCTATTGATTTCATTTGAAGATGACTCACAACCTTACCAACCAATTCGCCATCTTTTCCTACGCCTAATAACACCATTACTCTGTCAGTGGTCATAATATGCCTCATTAGAGCTTTGAAGGCATATATGATCACGTGATAGTAACTGAAAAATGCCCTCACCGTTTCACACCTCTAGAGTAATGCACATCCTGAAGCAACATTTGGCATTTACGATGATAAAAACACATTCCAAACATTGTTTTATTATTACTATTTAAAGCTAACAGTATATTCTGTATAATTTTTATTGAAGTGGCTATTCGATAATCACCTTATAACAAAAAATAAATTACGTTACTCAGTATTACAAATGACCACTAAGATAACTGTATAGGCAAGACATTTTGGACGAACCAATCTCACTTACTTACGCCTGTTACTCGGCGTTGAGGACCATAGGCTGACCACCAGCACTCTCCATCCTTTCCAGATCTTTCCACTTACTATTCATTCTTTTCATATCTGCTTCTATTTTCCGACGTAATATGTTATTTGGTCTTCTGTTTTCTGCTTCCTTTCAAGATTCCAAGTTAGCGCTTGTCTCCAGATGTATTTTGATGATTTACTTATTGTATGTACTATCCATTTCCATCGTCTTTTCCTTATTTCTCTTCAGTTGGAAGCTGGTTTATACTCTCCCATAGTTGGCTGTTTTTGATAGTATCTGACCAATGGATGTTGAGTATCCTGTGTAGACAACTATCTGTAAGTACTTGTACTGTTTTCATGATGGTTGTAGTCGTTCTCCAAGTTTCAGCTCCGTAAAGTAGAACAAACTGACTTGTTTTTATTGAAGATTCTCACTTTGATATTGATAGATAGTTGTTTTGAGTTTCATATGTTCTTCAAACAAATCAATCAGGTATAAGATCATACGTTTCGGTTTTTGGCACAAAATTCACAAATCATTTTGGCTAAATAGAGTTTTGGCATTATAGCTTATGTCAGTTCGTGATGAAAAACCTTAAATCTACTTTCTAACTTTAACCATTAACTGCAAATCGTAATTTGAATTCCTTACACTGCTTTATAACCATCATTTGGTCCTAGTTACTAGGTTAACACTCTCAAGGTCACTTTAGCGTCCCTCAAATGTCATCCATAAATTGTAGTCTCACCACCATTTATTTATTTGGAGGATGTAAAGACCTTTACATATCTGGACAGCATCATTGATTAACATGGTGGATCTGATGGCGATATGAAGGCATGGATCGACAAAGCAAGAGCTGCATATTTACAACTGACGGAATCTGGAACTCAAAACAATTGTCAACCAACACAAAGGTCAGAATTTTCAACACGAATTTCAAAACTGTATGGAGCGAAAACTTGGAGAACTACGAAAGCCAGCATCCACAAGATACAAGTGTTTATTAACAGCAATCTACGCAAAATACTTCGAATCCGTTAGCCAGACACTATCAGCAACAACCTTCTACGGAAGAGAACGAAGGAGACTCTATTAAAGGAAGAAATCAGGAAGAAATGTTGGAACTGGATTGAGCACACAATAAGGAAACCACCCAACTGCATCACAAGGCAAGCCATCACATGGAATCCTCAAGGCCAAAGGAAAAGAGGAAGACCAAAGTACACATTACACCGAGAAATGGAGATAGATGTGAGAAGAATGAACAAGAATTGAATGAAACTAGAAAAGAAGGCTCAGGACAGAGTAGGTTGGTGAATGCTGATCGGTCGCCTATGTTCCATTGGGAGTAACAGGCAGAAATAAGTAATGTAAATAACTATTTGTTCAGTAATGTATTATTACTGTAATAATCATTCTATGATGAAAATTATTTAGAAATCAATCAACTATTATTTACATCATTTTTTTAAAACAAAAAAAAAGTCATTTAATCAAAAGTGAAAACTGTGACAGAATGAATAAATATGTATCCGAAATTAAGAACAGTTGCTTTTAGAATAATAATAATAATAATAATAATAATAATAATAATAATAATAATAATAATAATAATAATATGTAATGTTATATACTACTAATTAATACTGAATACTTCATGTCCAACTATTAGAGCAAAATAAAATAGGGACCGCATTTTATGGAGTTAACAACAACAACAACAACAAGAATGAAAGAAAGAAAGAAAAAAGAGAGAGGGGGGAGGGGAGGGAGAAACTGGTGTAAACAAATCAGAAATAACTTTCCTAAAACATAATATATTTTTCTTTCATAATTTAGAAACAAGCATACACACGCACACTCACACAAACACACATACACAACGCAGACATACTGTCACATTCTATTTGTCCGCACTATTTTTTTCTAGAAAAAATAAAAACAAAAAAAAATCGAAATTTGTGTTTTCATCTTTTAACAACAACAACAACAACAAAAAAAAAAAACTACACAAATATACACATTTACAAATGTGTAATATGAGATATAAAAACAGATAGTTTTTGTCTACGTATGAGGGGGAGGGAGGATGATGTAAAACGTCATAGAAACTAATGAAACTAATGATTTACACTTTTAAGAATTTTAATAAGCATTTTTTATTAATTAAATTGACCTTGAATTTGTTTATATTAAATCATATTAAAATCAATTAATTCACAATGATAATTTTAATTATTGAGATCATGAGTTGATTGAAGGTAGAGAGCCATAGAAAACCTGGAAGCACTGAACGATCAACTTGTCCTATTGTGGGACTCCTTAGCAATGCGCAGTCAGTAACAACTCAAAACTTCGTATGTACGTACATCAGTTCGAGTTGGCATACAACATTAGCACAGAGATGCAATTGTTGATTCAAATCGCATAGTGGTAGAGATAGTAAGAGCATAAGCATTTATTGGAAAGATTAGGGTTTGAAGACGTCGTTCAAAGAGTACAGTCAAGTGAAATAAATTTGGAAAGAGAAAAAAAGGACATCAAGAATTCAGACGATTAGAATTTGGGAGAACTCAAATAGTGGATGCACCTGCGCCATTGCAAACGATTTTGAGCCATGTCATTCAAGGTCTCTAACCATCGGTTCCTATCATCTCGGGGATCCCAACCAAGTAGTCTACACCTACCGACATGACTCAGACAACTTGTCAGTGACTTCATCGACTTGTGCCATGTTTTGCTCTGGTCGTCTTTAGCTTTCTTCCAACCTACTTCCTTATACCATAAAACATCGCTTGTCAGAGCAGTGGTGGTTGGGCATACGTAACACGTGCCCCAGCCATCTAAACTGATGTAGTTCCACTACGTCATCAATTAATTTGCTATCCTTACCTAGTACCCGTTTTCTATCAATTGCATTACTTACTCGGTGAACCCAGGATATACGAGCAATGTTTCGAAGACACCTATCATCGAATATTAGTAACCTACGAATATCCTCTACTTTTACCGGTCATGTTTCACTGCTATAAAGTAGGACTGTACGAACGTCCTTTGGTTGGTTGACGGATATTACGCCTACATCATAAATGACGCAATTTGGCAAGTGCTAGTCGAGCTTTCTGTATCCGTGCTGAGATTTCGTCACAGCAGTTCGCATCCACAATCCTGCCCCGCAAGATCCGAACCCAAGACCTATCAGTATGATACTTGGTGTTTGTATGAACTAATGATTCCTCTATACTTGATGACTGTTTGATTTCGAATTCTAAATATAATTTTGAGTTCATCCCTTTCAAGTTGGTCTCAGTGTGGGATAAAAACTACGGGATCTCTTCGGAATTATAATACTTATTAGAAGCCATCTCAGTAGGTGCATCGAATTACTGTTCGAAACTTTATAGGAAGTAATTTCCTACAGATGCCATTACAGATTAATCCCCGGAACGTTAAATAGAGACTCCTATCTTAGCCAAAGTCAGAACAAGTAAATGATTTGGTTTGCTAAAGTTCATTTGTTTCTAAAAAACAAATTAACACTGTTAGTAAACAAAAAAGCAATTAATACTGTCTAGTAAGAAAAGCAACATAAGTAACATACTGAATATTAACTGGAGCATAGGAAAAATTACTCAACAAAAGTTAACATCATTGATTGAAATCATGAGTCAATTGAAGCTAGACCACCATGGACAATGGTATACGGTGGCACAACTTCGTGGATTGGTTGAAGCTAAACATTGACACAGTTGGATGACGACTCAGTGGTCTAGTCGGTTAAGCGCTTGGCGTGAGCTCGATAGGTGCTGGGTTCGAATCTTGCGGAGTGTGGGATCGCGGACGCGCACTGCCGAGGAGTCCCATATTAGGATGAAACGGTCGTCCAGTGCTTCTAGGTTTTCCATGGTGATCTAGCTTCAATTGACTCATGATTTCAACCAGTGAAATTTCAAAAAATCTCGACAAAACCCATTCTGACAAAGATAGTTATCATCATGAATTAACTCTAGATAAAGAGACACTAAATGCCAAATTAAAATAAACATACTTTTTATCCTATACCATACCTCAACTTCGTGGTGAACAGAATAAGTCATCTTTAAGTCCCCAACAATGTGGGACATTTTCTTACACTATTGAATTATACATTACCGATGGTATCAAATGATTGTATTTTCATAATATGAATTATTTGTTCTATAGTTTTCCCCAACCAATTAACAATGTATTTTTTATGAATACAACAAAATGATACACACAATTCAAATCTATCATAATTGATCAATAAAAATACAGTATAAAACATATATACTACTTCTACCACCACCACTACAACTACTACTATTTCTTCTTCTTCTACTACTACTACTTCTTCTTCTTCCTCTTCTTCTTCTTCTACTACCACTACTACCACTACTACTACCAGTACTTCTACTACTACTACTACTACTACTACTACTACTACTACTACTACTACTACTACTACTACTACTACTACTACTACTACTACTACTACTACTACTACTACTACTACTACTACTACTACTACTACTACTACTACTACTACTACTACTACTACTACTACTACTACTACTACTACTACTACTACTACTACTACTACTACTACTACTACTACTACTACTACTACTACTACTACTACTACTACTACTACTACTACTACTACTACTACTACTACTACTACTACTACTACTACTACTACTACTACTACTACTACTACTACTACTACTACTACTACTACTACTACTACTACTACTACTACTACTACTACTACTACTACTACTACTACTACTACTACTACTACTACTACTACTACTACTACTACTACTACTACTACTACTACTACTACTACTACTACTACTACTACTACTACTACTACTACTACTACTACTACTACTACTACTACTACTACTACTACTACTACTACTACTACTACTACTACTACTACTACTACTACTACTACTACTACTACTACTACTACTACTACTACTACTACTACTACTACTACTACTACTACTACTACTACTACTACTACTACTACTACTACTACTACTACTACTACTACTACTACTACTACTACTACTACTACTACTACTACTACTACTACTACTACTACTACTACTACTACTACTACTACTACTACTACTACTACTACTACTACTACTACTACTACTACTACTACTACTACTACTACTACTACTACTACTACTACTACTACTACTACTACTACTACTACTACTACTACTCTACTACTACTACTACTACTACTACTACTACTACTACTACTACTACTACTACTACTACTACTACTACTACTACTACTACTACTACTACTACTACTACTACTACTACTACTACTACTACTACTACTACTACTACTACTACTACTAATACTAATACTACTTCTTCTTCTTCTTCTTCTACTACTACTGCTACTATTAGGTAGTACCAACAACAACTTACCAATTAAAAGTAATTGAATTTCTTTTTTACGATGTTCATATTCTTGTAATAAAAATTTGTCAATTTTATGACTATGATATCTGGAACGTTTACGAGTTAATTCTCTATTCATTTAAGAATTATCAAATGGAATATAGTTAACATTCATGATTTGTATAGTACTAACTACTAATGATTATTCTCTTTTATTGATATTAATTTGTTCCAGAATATGTATGTGTGTATGTGTGTGTGTGTTTATGTTCGTGTATTTGCTTGAACGTGGAGTTTTACTTTATACCTTGTCAATAGAGTATACCTTTCAAAGTTTTAATGGCATAATTTCAAGGTTAATCAATTATTCATTGATCCTATGTAACATTTATTCATAAGGATATGACCAAGCAGAATTGGAAAAGTAACTTGATCAATTAATCTTTTATTAATTAATCTGAAAAAAAAAGGAAAGAATAAAGGAGGAGAAATTTAATGATGCAAATCAGTTAAACTGACAGTGTTGTGCACATGAATTAGTTGTTTCAATGTTTGAGTGTGAATTTACATTTACCGAGTACTATACGATGGTGAATACCCCAAATGCCTTGCTAAGGCCGAGAGTGAAGAAAGTCAACTCTCCCTCTCCAAATGCTCTCAAGTGGCCACGTGCATACAATCACTGCCAAGGAAGTCCTACTCGTTGCATTTTCTCAACACGGTTGTTTACGAAATTGAGAGGAAGAAAAGTGAATGTCCGACGCTGTGACCGGGTTGGTGGACACAGAGAGTCCACCTAGGAAAGTTGGAAAACCATGATTCCAAACCAATGGCGCACATGGACTGCAGGATCCTGAAGGGACAAATGACGTATGAACCTATTGTTGGTCACCGGCTACCGTGGGACTGCATCTTTTGACGTTGCTCCACTGCCTTGTGGATCACACCCTTAGGCCGGAAGCTCCGGATTTGGCTGATAAGTCTTGCAAATTGAACGCTATATTCGATTCCCTGACTATTTCTGTAACCCCCAAGATAGAACTATACAGCGACCTGAACACGAGAGAGAAGGCGCAAAGTATGCAAGATACACTTTACTCCAAAGGTTCATTTTAATGCAAAAAATATAGGGTCTTTATAATATTTTAAATGTCCTTGAGTTGCTCGAAGATTTTGGAACGCTACTAAACATAGTAGCAGTATAGCAATCAGCCAACCACAACCTCTACATGTGACGTTTCACTTCCTTTATGTTTCTGGCTAAAACTTCAAGCGAACGCTGATTAGATGAAATGTTTCTTAGTGTTTCCTGATCATTGCTTGTCTTTTGCGAGAAATTTTATGGATCACCCCAACAGTGGCCCCCTGAGAAAACCACCTGTTTCGGTTTGGGCACCTGAGCAGTATCCCATCCCTCACACAAATCGAATGATTTATACGGCGCATATGTATTTGGTGCCTTCTTGTACCAATGTTTATGTGTTTAAATAGATAAATAGATAAAACGATGGTAAATGGTTAATACTGAACTGGTTTAGCTCGTTAATAAAGTTATCCAAAGTCATCACAGAATGTAACGGTCACAGTCGAAGCCGGTTGATTCTGTTCTAATAAATGTACCCGTCCCCTTGCGGGTCAGGGATTTAAGGCATTTATTAGCTCTATAATTACTACAATTATCCATGTAGCGTTTACGATATAAATATTCTCTGCATCCCATAAATAAGAATAGTAAGTTAGATTATGGTGATTCATTCTGTGTACAACTGAGTGATGTGATCATTTCATGAAGCAACTTTATAAAACTAGATGCGAATGGTCTATCAGGGATTTTAGATAAAGGATCGTAAAACACTGGTAATTCCATGTTACCAGTGCTGCATGCTGGTATTTCTTTTTGAGGAACCTAAGAAAAAAGGATTATTCTAATTGATGGTTTCAATGATCTGGAGGTGTGGAGGAAGAGCTCAAGGAATATCTGATTGAAGTTGATCATTTATGGCTATTTTGTGAATGGTTATTTTTGTAGAAATTATTCTATACACTTTTTATCTTATCTTCAACTCTTAAGACTGATGAAACATATAGTACGATATTTATTCGCAGAAAATATCACACTTTCTAATTATCCCGAGACAGTTTACAACACTACTTTGTTCTTATACCTAAAATCTGGTACATTTTGCTTGGATGGTCTTTAAACGACTTTCGTTGCACAATAGAACTATAAGTTGTAAAAATTTGAGCAAACATATCTCTATTAGGTCATCACTATAGGCAGACCTGACCATTGTATAAAAGAACTAACTACAATTTGTGCAAAGCAACTTTATGATAATTATGACAATCTAAGCATTCATTTATATCAATAGTTGAGATTATGAGTCAATTGAAGTTAGAACACCATGGAAAACCTGGAAGCACTGAGCGGCCGTTCCATCCTATTGTGGGATTCCTCAACAGTAAACATCCATGATCCCGACTCGTGGGGTTTAAACCCAGGGCCTTGAGTCTCGCACGTGAACTCTCAACCTACTAAACCACTGAGCCGGCATCCAACCAAGTTAATGTCTAACTTCAACTAATCCACAAAATTCAGCGACACATTCACCATTGTCCTCAATGAGTTACTATCTCACAACAGACTCGGTTGAACTCCACTGGTCACTACTTCTCACTAGAACTCGAGGATATACCACTTAAAGCCAGTCACTAGTGAGCATATGTTGATTAATATCGGAAGGGGATTTGTGGAATCCCACAATAGGATGAAATGGCCATCCAGTGCTTCCAAGTTTTCCATAGAGGTCTAATTTCAATTGGCTCATGATTTCAACTATTGAAATCACTACAATCTCTACAAAACCACTTCTGATTCATTTATATAGAAATAACTAATCAAAGAATACGGTTAAAATAACATGAAAGTAACCATTGAGACACATGTTTCATCTACAATACTAATAACTGTATTAACAAATAACTGATAAAGTCTAATATAATCTCGTTAAAACCGAAACTATAACATTTCCTTTACCTTATTAAGTCAATGTCTGGAGTAAATCAAAACAGTACAGACTAAGAACAATTTCATTCGATTGTAAAATTGAGATGTATAAGAAAATTAAAACAAGATCTATGCTCTCTGTTTGTTTTTGTTTTTTTGAATTATATGGTTTAGGATAAATATCATACTCTTTCAACAAAATAGTTGTCATCGTAACTCATCAGATTTTTATATGAAACTTTATTGTTTTAAAAGACGATTGATTGTTATATCTCGATGAGAATAATGAATAATAACTTTTGGGATCCATTTATGGATTAATACTTTATATATAGTTTTTATTGTATAATTGTTAACTGGCCAAACAGTTCATATTCATGTTCCGCTTTTTATAAGCTTTATTTTGATTTATAGTCTATTATTATACGATTTACCGTTCGTTAGTTATGTCCAGTTTATTAATTACTATCTTCCACATTCACAGTCACTTTTGACTAAATCATGTATAAATGTTATTTTCTATTCTATAGTACGATGTGGTCTGGTTTGTTTGTATACAACCGTTGACCAACGATTAGTTCATACGCTATTTTTCCCTCAAGATCCTGGAGTTCATTTGCCTTATTGGTTTGGAATCAGAGTTTTCCAACTCCCCTCTATGAATCTTCCATATCCACCAATCCGGTTACAGCGTCGAACATTCGCTTTTAAACCCCTCATCTTTATAAACAACACCCGTGTTAAGGAAAGGCAATGAGAAGGACTTCCTTGACAGTGATTTTATGCGCATGGTCATGCGAGAGCATTTGGAGAGGAAGAGCTGACTCACCCCACTCTCGACCGTATCAAGGCATTTTGGCAGCCATTACATTATATATCAATAGGGCACAAACCCACAAGTTATAAAAGTGATCTGTTTTTAAATCTCACTACAAATAACACTATCAATCCAAGTAGATCTAATCAAAAAGTTTTAAATAGAATGAAATATACGTTCTAAACCAGAGTTCTAGTTCCTTTTCTTTTAAATATTTGCTAATAGACTAAATCAGTTAAATATTTCAATCTCCTTTATATATTGCCCATTTGTTTTATCCTCAAAAGAAGTTCCACATGTTAATTAAAACAGTCAATTACAAATGTATCTTCAGTTAGATATCTTCAATTAATGTTTATATTGGATCATTATTTTATTGAATACAAAACAAATGACAATCTGTGTGTACAATTATATCAAAGTTGAAATTGTCTACTTTCAATGTTGTTAATCAAATAAAACTTAATAATTGAATTCATAAGTCAAATAAAACTAGACCATTATGGAAAACCTGGACTGATAGGTCCTGTGTTCGAATCTTGTTGGGCGGGATCGTGGATACTCACTGCTGTGAAGTCCCATATTAGGACGAAACGGCCTTCCAGTGTTTCCAGATTTTCCATGGTGGTCTAGCCACAAAATCTCTCTTTGTTTACAAATAAAATTTGTTGATAAGAGAGAGAGAGAGAAGGAAGGGGGGAGACAATATGATCAAAGCATGAAAATAAGGGGAAAAGATCAATTAACCTTATTATGGAACAAATATGTAACAATTTAAATTTAATGAATCTATTGATTACTATCTAAAGGTTTTAAGATGAATAAGAAATATGATTAGGTAATATAATAGTTCATTTTGTTATTAGTGACCATCAATAGTGTACAGATACATCTTCCTATTTACAACTAATCAATATAAAATACCTGTTCAACAGGTACATCTTACTGACGAGTGCCAAGTGGCACGGAACTCGAGTTCAGGGTTTGTTGTTGACTACCTCCAACCACCATCTAATCTCAACATAGTACATGCAATGTCGAGTCACCTATACTAGTGGTTACATTGCAACTTGGTCGATAGTATTTGATCCGCACTAAGAAGGAATTGACATACATGACATTGATCACCACCGAGTGATCAATCAATTGTGATAATAGTTCATCTTTTTATTAGTGGCTATCGATAGAGTATAGAACGAATACATCTTCCTATTTATAACTAATCAATATAAAATACCGATTCAACACAATGGTAATTTTTTCAGTTGAGATTCAAGCTTAAAAGCTTAAAAATACTAAATTGATGTGTATTATAAGATATGAATGTTGTATTGAATGATTAGTTAGTTTGTAATATTTCAGTAGTATAATAAGAAGACAAAGATAATCAGAACTATATGACGATATATTAGCGCAATACATTCCGAACAATCTGATCACACATTATATACTTGTTAAGAACATTAATATATAAAAATAAAAGGTCAATTAGACTAGAAATGGAGGATAATAGAAAAGAAGGATAATAAAGAAAATAATGTGAAAACAATGTGAAACCTCATCACTTCTGGATAATGAACTAATATTACCAGGGTAGGTTTAAGGTGAGAACAGTCAGCGAATCAGTCATCTA